GTGTGAAAGATAACCGTAACAGATATTTCTAAGATATTCTCTTCTTGACGTGCAACAAAACTTCGATCACTGACTCTGCACGAACCTTCATTTCACAACGGCTTGAAACTGCTTATTTTTTATTAGCACATGTGTGATGCAGCATGCTTGAACCTCAGTATGCGTATATAGTGAGAATTAATTTATCTTAATGACAGTTGGACAGAAGATCGCAAAGGCGGGAAGGATAATGAGGTTCTTCCTGTGGTCTTGTCTCAGAATTCGTGAGGACAACTCTAGAACAAAAGTGAAAAAGTAGATTAGGGAAAGAAACTGCGCTGATGTTTTGTAGTACAACAGCCAAAAGGGTCTGTCTGAGGAAAAAAAAGCGTCGTTTATAGGAACGCTCAGAGTGCAGTACCTATTCCTAGTTTTACACGCTAGTTTGTCTAGCTAGTGTTGTTACAATGTAGGAGCGGCATATTTTTATGTGAGCAATCTGTTCGGCTGTGGCACTGCCGGGAAACGTTTCGTGCAGCAGTTTCAATTACTACACTACAATACGGTAACATAGCCTGAAATGTTTTTAGGTGCGGGAGGAGGGGAAGGGTTCCACTACATTATGTATGTTTATGCGTTGTGTATATAAACATGCAAAAATAAAAACGCAAGGCCCGTGCGGAAAGCACAGTGCAGCGACAGTCAAAGCTGGAAAAGTTGCATTTCTACAGAGCTCGTTGTAAATTATTTTGGAACTGATAATACAAGCACACTTGCAGATTAGTTACTAAGCCAATTTCTGTCACCTTTACAAGCACTAAAAACGCCCTTATTCGCGATTTTCGGATAAGAAAGATATTCGCTACAGGTCTGATATGCATTATGTGCACTTTATTGATGCGGTGGCTGATAACGGTAAAAGTGATGACTGAGCCTTCCGTAATTGGCCAGAAGCAATCAACGATCCACTCCTTACGCAATTCACATTGCGTGGCGCCTTTTTACACAATACGCATTCTCAGACACTTAGCTGATTGTTATTTCACTCTGTTGCCGTGATGGATTACACATGTCAACATCGTTTCTTTCCAACATGAAGCCTGTATCGTGTGTCCTTGCGAAGAGTTTCAAGCAGTGCATGGATTTGTCGTAGAATACCCTGTCACAGAAAAGGCCGAGGTTTTGAACCCCATTCCATCCTAGATATTTTTCTTTAATCATTCTTTTGTCTTACTTTTGCGCTGTAGTGGTCTCCGAAGCCCAAGCTGGTGGAAGACAACTACGGCATCGAAAATGGGCGTTGTGATGTTATGACATCTTTGCCTGCCAAAATTGGGAAGGGGGAGAGAACAGCCCGTTCTCGGTGATTACGCCTTGTTAATTTTATTGAACAATTACCACATCTAAGGGTCGTGACGTGGACGAAGGGAGGAGGCTGTGTGTCCAAGATGAAACTGTTCATTTGGTCGAACTTTAGGGGTCAAGAAAAAGTCAGATTACACTGATGCACTGGCACTAACAATGGCGATTAAAGCCTCGGCCATCGATTAACTGACAAGCGGTGATGAGTGTTGGCATTCGTACATGTGCTGTCAAATATTTCAGCGTTATCGCTGGCGACCACGTAAGTTTTAGAAGAAACTCTAATGTTCGCGTTGGACGCGTAATTGCATAGGAAGGTTCTATGAGTATCCCATTTTTTCTAGGTCACACGACGTGGTTTGCGGAAAGCAGCATTTACAACGTAATAGGCTGATAACATAACACGAGGAAGGAATGTGGCAATACGTTTGTACTGAGTATATCAATTCTATAGCGCGCGTCAGTTTATTATTATTTATCACTTAAAATGAATAATGTACTTTAGGGCTAAGAGAATGCGGAAAGGCTGGTAAATGCGTTATTAGAGTGTGTACAAACATTTCACGTAATAGTCATAAATAAGTCATTATTTTTATTTCAATTTATACTTGTTTACTCAGCAAAGCAGCACTGTAATTACTTTCGTAATTAACACAATTTGAATGGTGTGCCTCTTTGCAGTCAGACATGTAAGTCCTGGGTGAAGGCCTCTTCGCTAGAGATACGAATCTCCTTTAGCCTCCCGTCACTGAAATATTTCCCACTTTCCGCGTATACCTGACACAAAACAATTTTGAATCAATTTAACTGAGCGCTTGATTTCCGCACTTCTATTTACTTGTTTTAACCACTCACGAGACTTACGTAAGCGTACAAAGAATCTTTGGGACAATAATAAGTTTGGGTGAGTGTTTGCCCAAATGCGTGCATATTCCGTGGCTCTCAACTCTGGATTGGCGACAGAGTTGAATCAAACGCGGCGCACATGCCTTTGAGTCAGCGTGAGTGCACCAGCGGCCTGACGTGATACATAGTTTTCTAACCGTATTGGTCGGACGGTGTTACCGTATAATTTCAATGTTGTGATCACAGACTGCGTTCCTTTTACATATGAAAAAAAAATACACGTGGCTGATCACTCTGTCTGGGAAACTCTATAAATGAAAAAAGAAATCTGTCTTAACGATGGCCGTTGAGCAGTTTATTGCGAATTGTTTCGTCTCAAGGGTAAACAAATAAATACAGCAGGAAGAAACTGTGAAGTCACGTGATGAAACGCAAGCAGGCTCGTAATATGGAGCGCACTGCTCAAGCAGAAAGACGCACACAACGACCACACACAGGGTGAGAGTGGACTAACAACTGTCCTAGCTCGACGCTTCAGGCGCGCTGCTCAAACAGAAAGAAGGACGCATGAAATAACACAGAAGTGTGCACATTTTTATTGTGAGGTAAAAAAAAAAAAACCTCGGCCAGCATCTTAGACATATAGCAGGCAGAAACATACACAAGAGGAGCAGGAACAAATGTCACACTTATTCTTGCGTTGTGTGTCAGAAGCGCGCTCCTTTCGTAAACGCTGCCGTGGCAGCCAGCGAAGTGACCTTCGTACTCTCCCGAATCAACAGCTAAGCACGCACGCACGAGTGACCACGTCCTTGTGGAGGCACACGCGCATTGCAACGCGCAACGCAATGGGCGGTGAGCTTTAAACCCTGCCTGACGTGTGCCCCTCGCACCATGGTTGCCACCGGTATTAGAATTAGATTCGTCAAACGACGGAGTGAAATGTTGCCGATATCCACAATTTTTCTTCAAATTTCGCCAAAAGTGTCTCCACTCTACATATGTGTGACGTGCCTAGTGATGAAAGTTTCTAATCATCCATAGCGCCGTAGAGTTTGGTACCATCCATAAACCCTGAACTATTTCGATATTTCTCAATTGCAGTCACATTTCCCGCTTTCACCACCGGAGCACTAAGAAAGGGCATACATACAATGTAGCAGCGTCCCTGAATACTAGCGCTTCGTAACATGTTTGTGAAGGTTTCAGTTGAAGCGAATACCTGATGAAGCGCTCACCACAACCACAAAAGAACACCATAGCTTTCCTGCAGATTTAGAAAATTTTGCGATGGTGGACCCTTGAGATTGATGATCGAAGAACCTAATTACAAGGCAATGCAAATAAATTCCGATTACTGCGTAACCGTCGCAATCGCCAAACCACATACTCTGCGCAGACATGCTTTCGCTATACATCGGCCTCATTGTAGTTTCTGAAGGCTACCCTTAGAAGCCCGACCTCTTGGCCCTTCGAAAAAGTATGTAAATCAGAAATTGAAACTAATAATGGTTTAGTCGCCACGCGCCTCACTAATTCGCCACTTTGGCGAAAAGTAGTCACCAGTGGCAACCCTGCTTCGCGCCTTATCACTAGTGATGACGAAAATGCGCTGAAATTGCTGGGTTTTGTGGAGCACCAACGGTATATGGTGTATATAAATAGCTCGCTGTGAGGAAATTGGAAAACGTGTGCTTCTTCACCTGGTAATTTCATGCCGCGTGCTACGATGCAAGAGGTGGTAGGTTTGACGCCAGTGGCGATGGAGCTGCTACGTCTCGGTTTATAGCGTCATATCCATGACGCAAATGCGTCAAAGGGGCCATAGTGGACCCCGGCATAAAACGCTTTCGTATGAGAAGAACTTGTCATAAATTACTGGTTGTGACTGATGTCTGTTCCGTATTGTCGACAGTGACGGAGTGGCACGTTGGACGGGTAAGTCAGTCTCGCCTTATTCCTGAAGTCATCAATAAGGTTAAAATATTTTGTATCACTTTTAACTCTAGATACCTTGCAACAAAGTAGAGGGCACAATATGGCGTTTATTTATCTACAACATAGGCGTAGGGTTTTGTGCATCTGAAGAGGTTTATATGCCGATGTTCAAAATGCAGTTGATCAATGTTTACAAAGCCTTTAATTAAGGAGCTTCGCCCTTCATGCTTCGTTAGTAAATATACGCAACTTTTTGTGTGTTAAGCAATCTGAGGGGACCTCTCATCCATTCATCAATATTTTTTCACTGCTCGCAAGATTTTGTTCTAGTGCTGATGTAAACTGCGGAAAGCTTCCTATGTAATTTCCTAGCACTCTATTGTGAGTGTCTCCGTATCCGATAAAAAGTTTGCAGTAAATTTTCCCAAATTCTGTCGCAGCAACATGTTTTTGAAGTTCGAAGGGAGAATTTCACTGCGGCCTTTTTTCAACTGCCTTTATGATATTTTAACCAACATATTCAAAGCTTTTCAACAAACACTGTTTATTGTTCGCGAACGCACTAGTCATCTAAACAGCTCTCAAGTGAATTTCTCGCCGAAGTTTCTTTTCTAGAGCAATGTGAGGCATTTTTTTTTTATTTCTGTGTTTTTGCATTCGTGCAAGCGAAATGCGAGCAAGCCCTATGAAGGTTTATACGAGGCGCAGAATGTTTCGTTTCGTGATTTTTTTTTTGCATTTGTACCATAGCTTTGTGAATAGAAGACTGAAACCATGGTGTGTTTGCTTTCCGTAGACATGGCCACAGAAGCATATATCCTACTCTGCCATGGTAGCGAGTGCTAATCAAAGTGGAAACTGATCTTCGTTTACAGATTACAACACGCTATTCGACGTCTATTCAAGAACAAGGACTCGTGCTTAGAGCCCGGCGAAATGGCTGCTCTGCACGAAAAAATACGGTATGCATAGCTGACTGCATTTTCTGAAAGACAAGCGAATATTTTTTCCTGTTTCGCTGATAGAGACAGGAGTGTTTTAACTTTTCCTTTTGGTAAGAATTCCGTGGCTCGTGTTGTTTCTTAGGAATATGCCTAATAGCCAACTAAAAAAAAAGCTTTACTGCAATTGGATGTATTTTCAGCCAGTAATTTATGTTACAGAATTCGCGTGAGCGCAAAATAGGGGCTCGTAGTTGTGTTCACATTTTATTAGCAGCCCTTAAGCAGCACAACCGTGCTCCTGATGTGGCACGAATATTAACGTACCGGAAACAGCGTCAGTGTCACCTTGTCTGCATAGATATTACGGTGAATGCACGCCCATTCATAACGTTCTGTTTCCCGCATCCTTTCTGGTAAGAGGTGGTGTTGAAGTTTCTTTCCTTGTTGATAACTGCCAACAAGAACTTCAGCGATATATTTACATAGATGCTTCCGAACATCTGATTTATCTGAAAAAATATGCTTCTGAGGATATTCTCCCAAAATTATTGCCCCGGATTCCCTTTTATGAAAAAAGTGAGACGAAACGTTATGTTTAGTTGCAACGTTTCATTTTTTTTTCACTCTACAGGACACTGGCAAGCTCTAAGGCGGGTCCCTTTCTTTTCGACTCGATCAAGGTACTACGCCTTCAAAGTCATGTTTTTACGTGAGCAAAGTTTCACTAACTTAATTCCTGGCTTCGTTTACAGCACGAAATTGAAGTCTGCCTTACAGCGTTTCTACGAAAGCTTCAAGTTGTGCCAAGTAAGGATTCTTCTTCACAGGTTGTATATATATATATATAGACTTACACTGCCATGAATTAGATCTTTATTGCAGACCGTGGTAATTTTACATGCGGTGCAGCGTGATTCACACTTGTCTAGAAAAGCTATATATTCGGCCAACGTCATTGCGAAATTAGACCGATACCGACGCCGCAATAATATCAGTCCTAGTAATAACGCATGCTGGCATACATTCGTTAACGGAAGCTTGTACTGAACACGTTGAAGCAGCTACGGGCAGTGCTAACATAACCACGCGCGCGACCGTTATTGAAAAGCGCGGTTCAAATTTTAGTTCATTGCAACGCTGCAGCAGTATACGACCACAAGATCACTTCATACCGTTGCAGTATACACTGCCAATTCATTGGCACTTATGACCCTCTTAGCGACTTTCAAACGTCCTCCCCTCTTCTTTGTCACTAACAGATTAATGTCTCATAAAAAAATTATGCCTGGAAGGTGGGCCGCGAACATGCCACCCAACCCTCGAATTTTACCCTCCCCCTCCGGTACGAAGGCGAACGCCCCCTGTGAACACTGCAATTCTCTTTCAAGTCCTCCGAGCAGCTGTGATGTCACATGACAAAACGGTATGGAGGCGAGCGGTCCCACGTGGCGGACGGTCGCAACACGCGGCAGGAGGCATGGCCTCCGAGATTTAAAGCTGGCAGAAAGCTCCCTATTGAAAAGGGAGCGACGGTCCAGGCACAGTTGTTCAAGGAGGCGTTGAACAGTCCTGACGCGTTGTTCATATCAGAAGCGTGTGACAACCGTGCTGCCAGAGTCAGGCCACTGATGTTTGATTTTGGTTAGGCTGTTTTGTTTTTGTTTTTTTAGTGAAGCGTTCCAGTTTGCATTAGTGCCTAGCATTTTATCTAAAATATGTATTCGGTTGCAGACTGCGCGAACAAATAAATACTACAAGCTGTAGCATTTTACTTTCAATAGCGTAATGCATCGCGGGACATTGCGCGTCTCTGAATTTTAAGCACGTGCCATGATATAAAGAAGTGGTCTTAAAAGTGAACTGAAGTAAAAATGCTAGCCGGTCTAGTTGGATCTAATTCATCTTTTAGCAAATTTACGTGAGGCAAGCAAGGACAAAACAGGAATTATAACAAAACAGCGCCATATACTCCTTGCTTCATTCTTCTTTGGCTTACGTGAATTGGCTAAAAGATGGGTTTTACAAGGTTGTATAGCCGATGCAGTTAGCTTTACGAGTGTTGTTAGGTAATGTGAACTATTCCTACAAAATATTGGGCATGTGTTTTGGTGTTAGCAATCTTTTTTTCTTTTGTGATTTACTGTAGATGCTATAGGTTTCATGCATGTTCTACGTACAAAGAACAGAATTCGAAAAGTCTTATACAGAGATACCACAGCTTCATTATTCAAATAAATAGACGTTACTTGCAGGAAAAAGTTAAAATAATGGCCGTATTATAATATAAGCCTGTTACGAACTCATTATTTATCAATTTGATGACCTGGGCTGTGACAGAGATTACCATGTGGTGGTTGTTTACTCTCAGAATGTAAAGTTCTCAAAAATGGTAAATGAAACGTACCGCATTTCACAGTCCTGTTACTATGTTATATATTTTTTGTTTCATTGCAACTACGTTTATTTCTGGTGTATTAGTCAATGTTTTGCTGGTGTTCCTGACAGTGCAAGAAACTAGTCTCGGCTTCATAAATGAAATGCAACTAAACTAAATTACATTTCGATGCCTCAAACAATGGTGCTTTTTAAATGAACGTCATCATAAAGCTTTGCTGAGCCCTTGTTACACGTAGAAGCGGTGGTTACTCGTGCCCACATTCTCGTGCTTCAATTTAATTTTTTGTGTGTGTCGCACTATGCGAAGCTCAAAAAGTCAGATGCAGTAAACGAAATGATACGATACACGAAAATTGTTAACGCGGCTGAATTTAATCAACCAGTGCTTTTGAATTTTTCATTTCACTCACTGCAGGAAACAAGCTGTTGGATTCACTGTCCTCTGAGTGGGAAAACTTGTTTCGGCACATCCTGCCGACGCTTGACATGATCTTGTACGTCGTCAAGGCATGCACCTTTCAACAGTTCTCATTTCACTATTCGCCCCGAACGCCAAAATGCAGTGTTCTTTCACGCGTTCCTTAAAAGCTTAGTAGCCCAAAACTCCTATAATACTGATTTTTATTTAGAAAAATGCTGACGGAACTGTTTCATCTTACTTATTAGAGAAAGTGATTATTTCCATTTTAAAGTGCAATCAGTTGAAGAAATTTTTCTACAATGTAGAAGTATTATATACTTATTTATGTTTTCGTTACATACTGCAGGCCCAGATAAGGGCCCAAGCAGGAGGGGAATAGGAAGGACAAATTATAATGCCAAGAGGGAAACATCATTATAAGTATGGAACAAAAAAAGGGAAGCACTACAAAAGTCGGCATATGAACTAAGGATTTACAAAGAGCGCACAGGTGGTTACTGTACTCGTGTAGTACAGGTGCCTCACTTGTCCTATATGATTTGATAAAACGGTAGGTTGGACTAGTTTGTTTGGCCTCGACATACTTGTACAGCATGAAGAGAACCAGGAAAGATGAAACTGTATCTGTCTTTGTTTATTTGGCGCATGGCAAATGTGTAGAGCCTCTATATTAGGGGTATTCGGCAAGATATACTTAACGCTTCGCCGAGAGTGAGGCAACAACTACCATTGTAGTGGAGCATATAAAACTGTGCCTGCCATACTGAAGTTATAAAAATCTATACTCTATGGTGAATGTGTGCGTAAAATATATAGTGCATCAAAACAGAACTGTGTCAACGCTTGCTTCTCCTCGCAAAGTGGGCAGCAAGTGAAAGTTACCACCATATGACAAACGAAGTAAATAAACGTATCAGGAAAAAAAAACGTATTGCGATTTTTAGCACTTGTGTACCTACTATACGAAATAGATCGAGAAATACTTTTGTAACGTTTGCACTTAATGGCTGGGAGATACTAAACTTGCACAGCACATGGGTGAGCTTGTCGGATATAGGTTTGAAAAATCGCTGCGACTATATATGTACTGCCTCTGGGAGCGGGAAAGCTTGCTTGTAGCTTGTAACGCTGATTTATTGACATTATACCCTACCATAGCAAAATTTGAGAAATGCTGTGCCACTGCTTGCGTTCGTCGTGTATGATCGTTGTAATTTTCTCCTGAAGTAGTTGCCTTTCCTGTTTAGGCAGTGTAGCCCTTGCCGCACAGTTAATATCTACCAGGTCACTAAGGTTTGAGCTAGTGCATGCGATACGTAAAACGTTTGAAATAGTGACAGTAAATCATAATTTTTATCATATGGACGTAATTATTACCTGTACTTTCACATTTAAAGTGATTTTGAGGGTGCGAAACTTCGGAGTCAAGACGGGAACTTGACGGCTCAATACAGCGCTTAAAATGTCCTCAGCTGGGAGACAGGCAGTTTTATGTTCAGACGTGATAAGTATATATATAAACATAGACATGGATCACGAGAAATGAATAAATCACTTATGAAATGCACTACACATTTAAAAAGCTTATGGAAAAAATGCATTGGGCTCATCAATGTTTCATCTGCATGCTATGAAAGAGACATAGATGACGTCGCAGAACCATAATTTTGCAATTTCTGGGTCCCGAAAATTTTGTAAGTAGTCCGGTCTCCCAATATTGATTAAGCCTGTTTATGGGTGTACTAAAGAACTTTGAGCCACTTCTACGTCAGATATGACGCTCAAGAGACAACTTTTTCAAGAACAGAGACGAATATGTATGCATGAAATCGCATAGGCTGTTTTGGAGCCTTTTACGATACCATCCCGGTAGTGTAGTTTTCTACTGTCGTACAAAATGATGCTCACGACATGCGCAAAGTGCACCGGGGGCTCGTAGTAGCTGTTTTCATTAAGTAAGAGCAAAAAGAGACCGTGATGTTAGGAACAGTTTGAGTACGACAAAATGTTCCAGGAAAATTAGTGCAAACCATCTCTTACTACAGCATGGGCAAAAATTTTCGCGACTGGAAACGCTTATGACTTATGACTTGCACCAATTCTACGCACTGCACTATGCTTTCAAGTTTTTACCTTGTGTACGCAGGGTAAAGGCTCAATTACTGTGAGACAAGCCTTTCTTGTGGTTTTCCGAGATGCAGTTGTCACAAAATTGGATCTTGAAGGTATGTATTCCTATTCCTTCTACGCAGTTCAAAAGACTAGCTCGTTTGTTCCTTGCATTTTGCGCAGCTTCTCATCCTAAATGCGCGGGCTTGATCCCAGTGGTGGTGGTCGCTATTCCGTGCATTTGAATGGCGAGAGTACTGGTTATGCTTGTAGGCGTCGAGTGCAGAAAGCAGTATAGCGATAAAAGCTGAAACAAACCTTGATGCTTGTGTGCACAAGTGTGACTGACCAGGAAGCCCTTGTCGAAATGCCACTAGATTATAATGTTCATGAAAAAAGAAAGCTAAGTGGTTCAACAATTCACAGCCCTCAAATACGAGGTGACTCAATCCGGACGTGCTTCTTTAGCGTAGAACTCACACTGTCATTCTATGTTATGAATTCTTCGATATACTGTCCCAACTGTTCCAACTGTCCTAATGCCCCAACTGTCCTAATACTGTCCTAATGCCCCAACTGTCCAAGAAAACTATATTGCATTCAGGAACGCTTTGTTATCAATCAAAGGTCTGTACATTTGCTCACTCACAGTTACATTATTCTATTTAGTATACTTCAAAGATCCTGAACTGCGCATAACATCAAATGAAACATTATTTGTATTGTTACTTACTCTAAAGATCACTCCGTTTCTGTGCACATGTTGAATGAAAAGTATTTCACTGGATAATTAGTCACTAAGACGCGTTTGTGTAACATTGATGTGTAATCCGAATAACCCTGTTTATGTAGGGCATCCCATTAGCGTGGCGCATTAAAGCGGTTTATTCAAACCGCGCAGTGAGTCAGTGGATTCTTACTTCACGGACGTGAATAAAGTACACCAACGTTTCAGATTTTAGATTTGCAAATGTTCATGTTACAGTGACAAAAATATTGTGCACATTCTTCCAGCTACAAATGATGCTAATACTATAATCGCGAACTTTTACGTCATAAGAGATGAAGCAGTAAAAGGAGGAGAGCTGTATTTACACTACTGAACGCACATACATATATGTACCTTGCGAATGAAAACGCAAACATACGTTCGTATACTTCTAACTGTGCTGCTGCTTGGCATCGTTTCTACGACGTGATACCAGGCATGCCTGATAATTAGGGTTCATTCAAAAACATTCAAACAAGACTGTTCACAACAAAGCGTATTTAGTTGAGATCTCTAACCTGAAATACTGAGAGTAAGGCGGTTATCACTCTTCTTACAAGGCCGTGGTTTTGAGCTGCCCTTCGCATTCAGCATGAATTTAATTCCTACAAGTGAGGTCAGCAAGCAGCCTTTACTTAAGTACTGTGCAGCGTAGTGTTGTGCTGGACACTCATATTCTTGCTTGTAATTAAAAAGTGTCAGTCCAATTACCTCTACAATTTCTGAAAATCAGGGCGAGTCATCGCATAAGAAATCCCGACATCGCTTTAAATAATTCTCAGTGCAGTGAACTTTGAGGTACAGGCATATTCACACACATGGGAAAAAAACTGAGTTTCCTTGTAAGTTTTCAGCCACCTGCACATGTTGAAGTAGGTTATTATTTTTAGTCATCTTTAATAAATTTATGGTAAATGGATGTTACTAGCTTCAGTTATCAATTGAAAATCTTCTCGAGCAGAAAACACTCTCGCGGACTGTACCTAACTGATTGTGTTTGTGCGAGGCCTGTAGTTTTGAATCTGATCCCGCTAAACTCGCACTAAGGCGAACCAAAAGAATACCGTCTGACTTACATGGCTAACCGTGTTGCCGTGGACTGCTGAAGTGCACATTCCGGCAGCTGGTGAGCGTTTCAATCAATTGTCGTCTGTGGGAGTTCCTTCAGTTGTTCACACCACTTCAAAGTATAAAAATCCACCTTGGTAACATCTAGTAACGTTTAGATGCACACGTAATCACGGCCTTAGAAAGAAGCGTACAGCCTTCTCAGCACGGTATTTGACGAGTGCCCGTGACAGGTAATATGCACTGTCGCATAGTTCTCAGCTAGATATTACGCTGAAACTGCTGATTTGTTGGCGCTCTGGAAAGTAACCGAAAGTACGTTAAAAACAAATCCAAAAGGAGGGAACGCTACATTGTCGACTGGAGCTGTATGGGATAGTCAGTTAAGCGCGCGTTGAGCGACGCATCGTAATCGAAGGGAAGTATGACCGGGCTCCATGGGCGGTGATACACTTTTGTCTTTTGCTTTGGTAGGTCCCGTTCCTTACAAAGGAGTAGAAAAAAACACATTATACGTATGAAAGGTGAATCATTAGCTGCACTGAGGTCGTCGTATGCGTCTGTTGTTCTTACTTATTCGAGGAAAACGGCAGGAATGGGAAGATGATAGCTCGCAATGAGAAGTCCGTAAAACAGGGATTGTTTGGTGATGCCAACGTTTCAACAAGAGGGTTTTTTTCCTCAATGCTTGAGCGAAACTTTTTTTAACTATGTGGTTTAACTTTATATGTAATTGCGACAGCATCAGCTTCATGTGTCAGCGTGGTTGTTTTGTTTTCATACTGATTGAAATAAATACTCACCTGTCTTTCTCTACAGATCTCATTAACGAGGAGACTCGTCATGAAGTTCCCGAAGGAATACGCCATATGCTTCTGATTCTTTACGTAAGCCTATGACCTCTTCGCTAGGAAGAATGCATCGAATAATGTATGGGTACATATTTTAAATCATTTAATTTTCTCTTAGTTGTACGTTTGTGCTATTAAGCTACTATGGTATGCTGGAAGTCATATTGAACGAGATGGCTACATTATGAAACGTAAGTAAATGCAAAAACTCACTAAAACGTATAGAGAACAAGATTAGGATAACTTTTCATTCATTTCATTTCATTTCATTACATTTATTATACTGTCAGCCCTATTTGGGCTATAAAAGGCGTGAAAAAAAACAATATACATACAGAAAAATAGGTACTCCCTATACAACTTCTAATATACATGACAATGAATGACAAGAAATAGCCAAAGCACTCTGCTCTTGAGGACATAGAATAAGCAAAATATAAACTATACGTCTTTATACACGATATCTTTTAGGCCCTTCAAGAAAGAAGGTACACATTCTGATAAGACAGTTGAATTCGGCAGCCTGTTCCACTCACTGATCGCCCGCGGAAAGAAACTGAACTTAAAACAATCGTTGTGTAATCTGGGAGGGGGGATGTACATGTTATGCTGGTGCCTCGACGTTTCCCCAGTTTTTATATACATATACTTCGATTTGTCTATTTTTACTTGTTCTTTAATGATTGAAAAGAGTAATTTAAGTCTTCCATACTCTGTCCTTTGTTCTAGTGGTTCAAGGTGGGCCAGCTTGCAAAGCTAAGTTGGAGAGTGGCAGCGCTGGTATTTGTTAAATATGAAACGTGACGCCAATATTTGCATTCTATCTAGCTTAGTGCGATTACTTGTTGTGTACGGATCCCATACCACCTTTGCGTACTCCATAATTGGCCGTACGAAAGCCTTGCAAGCCAAGCATTTGATTTCCGGGCTAGCATGGTGCAGATTTCGCCGAAGTCTCCACAATGCATTGTTAGCCTTAGCACAAACGGAGTGTACATAAAAATTCCATCGTAGATCAGAAGTTATTAATAAACCCAAATATTTGTGTTGTTCTACTCTGCCAAGCTCATGATAGTTTATAGAGTACTTCGTATTTAGAATGCGCTTTTTCCTAGTTACGGTCATCGTTACTGTTTTTGCGGCGTTTAGATCCATCTGCCAAATGGTGCACCAGTTTTGTATTGTTTGGAGGTTTAGATTTAGTTCTGATTGATCGGTAGGAGACCTGACTGTTTTATACATTACGCAATCGTCTGCAAAAAACCTTATGGGGACCATATTATCTTTAGGTAAATCGTTCACAAAAATCAAAAACAGTAGTAGGCCCAAGACACTGCCTTGGGGAACTCCAGAAATAACATTGGCAAGGGCAGATTTTTCCGTGCTGACTTGAACATACTGTTTGCGATTGGAGAAATAGGAGGAAAACCATTGGCTTAGGTTTGGGTGTTTAAAGATAGAGCTTATTTTTAACAACAGTTGGCATGGGACACCATATCAAAAGCTTTTGCAAAATCCGAGAGTATCATGTCAACCTGACCTTGCGAGTTAATTTCAGAGGAGAGATCATGAACAAGTTCAACAAGCTGAGTATTGGTAGATAGGCCTTTTCGAAATTCATGTTGCTGTGAGTATAATAGGTTGTAAACATCTAGATAAGCCAAAAGATGCTTGGAGACAATATGCTCGAGAATCTTTGAACAAGTGCTTGTGAGCGAGATGGGACGGAAATTTTTGCAGTCGTTAGTATTACCACCTTTGTGTATCGGTATGACCTTACCAACCTTCCAAGCAGTGGGAAAGCAACCACTTCTTACGGAGGACTGGAAAATAATTGTCAAGTACTTCGAGACCCAAACTGCGTACCTACATAAAAATTCATTTGGTATTGCATCAGGTCCTGCACTTTTCTTTTTGTCAATTTTATGGAGCAGGTTAAATACTCCTTGTTCACTAATCGTTATTCCTTCTATGGCAGGTGTGTCAGAAGCCTCATTAAAAGTCGGTACTTGTCTGTCATCGTGGGTAAACACTGACGAAAAAAAAGCATTAAAACTTTCAGCACGTGATTGTGAGTTTTCTTTATCTGCATCAAGATGGGTTTTTGTGTTTGGATTCACGTATCTCCAGAACTTTTCGGGTGTTTCGTGCAAGAACTTTTTTAGTTTAACATTATAAAAATTATCTTTGCAATTTTTAACTAGACGTCTCAATTCCTGGCTCAGAGTGTGAATGGTTTCCTTCCCTTCAGGGCAAGGATTCTTTGAGTGAGCTTTCCTTTTTCGTTTCACTTGTCTTTTGGCATGGATCACGTCACGCGTTATCCAAGAATTTTTCTTTGCTATCTTTTTTGTCGTGTTGGATAATAGAATTGAATGCATTCAGTGACCACCTTCGAGAAATAATCCCATAGTCTATTTGTACATGCATTAGAATTTTGCAGGAGAACAAAAGTATCGAAAGAGTATTCAAGTTTTTCTAAAACAGAGAAGTAATCTGCTGCTGCGAAGTTCAGAACTGTATTTTTGTAGTCTTTGTGCAACCTAGCGGACGCCATATCCAAGGAAAACATAACCATCAGATGATCTGATATGCCCTCAATTACATCAGATGCTTTAACATTCTCCTCCAGGAGTGAAGATACAAATACAAGGGCGAGAATAAAGGATACAGCCTTAAAACCACGTGTGTAGCTAGACACAATTTGGCATAGGTTAAAACAAAAGGCAATGTCCAAAAGATGTTCACAATGAGCTACTTCGTTTCCTATAATATCATGCGAATCCCATTGAATGTTTGGTAAGTTGAAATCACCAATCAAAATTATTTTGTCGTCCTGGTGCATATTAGAATCCATAAAACATCTTAAGTCGGTCCAAGTCATAGCAGGAGAACAGGGGGGTCTGTACATATCTCCAATGTACACAGGGTGATCATTTAATTGAATCTTTACCCATACAGCTTCAATATCACCAGCATCTGGCAAAGTTTGATACATTATGTCTCCTTTAATCATGAGTGCTACGCCGCCTCCTCTCCCGCCTCTGTCCTTCCTTATTAAGACGTAACCTGGCGGTGTGACTTCCACGTCATGTACATCACTGTGAAACCATGTCTCGGTGATTGCCAATATGTCAGGATCATGTTCCAAGGTTACACTTCCTATTAAGTGACTTTTGTTCAGTACGCTGCGAGCATTTAAGTTGATGATCTTAAAATCGGCCTGTTTTTGTCTTACAGGTCATCGGTGGTTGGGTTTAGCAGATGCTTTGCACTTGATTTTCTCCTTGGCATCATCACCCCAGGTGTACAAAACCTTGTTGATGAGAACTTTGTCATAAACCAGTCTAACGTTTGCTCCTTTCTTTCTTTCTTCTAGACTTGAGACCCACAAGTTTCTCCGTATCTCAGTTACACGTTTTGAGTAGTCCTCACTAATGTTAGTATGAGTGCCTTTTAGCTTGAAACAATTTTTCAGTATCTTTACTTTGTCTCGGTAGTCTGCCACTCTAAGGATTACAGGGCGGTCTTTGCGAAGAAATTTCTTTCCCAGTCTATGTATTCTTTCTATAGAATTCAGTTTCTGGTTGAGAATGGAGCCAAATATATCGTCATTTTTTTTAGTAAGTCATCATCATTCTCAGAGCCTTCTTCTTTTACGCCTCTAATAATAAGGTTGTTTCGTCTCGAGTGGTTTTCTAAGTCGTCAACCCTACTGCATAGAGCTATGATTTTGACCAAAAAATGCAATGTGTGGTGCGAAAAAAAGTGGATGAGCCGTTAGAGTGGAAGATGGTGTGGCCATGAGAAAACAATAACATTTTGTTCTGTTACATGGTCTCGAAATTTCTTAAAGTGAACGTGCAACGTAAGTGCGCTAATCGGTAGCTCTTTGATACTCTACCTATAAGGCTCACGACTGGTAAACGAGAAAGAGAAGAGTGGTTCCTGAAAAAGTCCTTACGTAGGTACCATAAATGACGTAATATTTGTTAGTTGGAAACCTAACCGTCATTGTAAATAGTACAATAATATTATTTCAAACAAACTTTGCAATTGATACTAATGGCTTTTTATTTTACAATATTTTTTTGCAGAACGTTAGTGACAGTTATCCACCATCAAAGACCAAATTGAAGCTTGAAGGACTTCTGGCGCGGCTACTAGTGCCCTTCCTGGGATTTCAAGGCTTATACGAAGGCACGCCTGAGCCCACAGTAAAATCTGCAGAGCCAGAGGTTGCCGCTCGCCGAAAGTCAGCAGGTGTGTTTTTGCGTGAAATGAAGTCTGTATTTTTCTCTTCAAAATGCACAAGGACAGAGCGGATACAGGCGCGTAGAGCGGCTTGAAAGAAAGCTGCATTGTACCTTTTGTGATTATGCCGATAGAACAGATTAGCTTTTTACAAGCTGAAAAAAAACAATGTGATAAGGTTGCATCACATTTTGTTTCTGAAACTGCATAATACAACATGCAAACAGCAGAGATCAGTGAGAAATACATGTGCGAAAAGAGGACTAGTGTGAATCTTATTGCTAAAATTTTATAACTAAAAAAGCATAACACAGAGAGAAACACAGTGTAAGTTTCAACACACACACACACACACACACACACACACACACACACACACACACACACACACACACACACACACACGCACACGCACACGCACACGCACACGCACACACAGACACACACACACACACACACACACACACTCACACACACACACACACACACACACACACACGCACACACACGCACACACGCACACACACACACGCACACACACACACACACACACACGCACACGCACACGCACACGCACACACAGACACACACACACACACACACACACACACACACACACACACACACACACACACACACACACACACACACACACACACACACACACACCATTTTGGGACCTGCTTCGATACTCCGTACACGAGAACCGCCGCCTCGACAACGCCGATCGGTTTCACTACCTTCGATCTCTTCTCGACGGCCCTGTGGCAAAGGCTATTGTAAGTATACTCACAACCGACCACAGTTATGAGAATGCCGCTTCTATACGTAAGGGGTGGTTCTGAGACGTGCGCATGATTGAGTAGAGGCACCAGAAAAATCTTCGTACTCTGCGTCCTGTGACTACGTCAGCGAATGATAGTGCTCAAAGAAGCCTTTAGGATTTCGTTCAAATTAACATAGGAGGGCTAAGAGGCCTCGGTGTCTCGGAATCCTGCTACTCTGCTGTGTTGTGCGAGGTGCTAATGAAATTGATTCCACAAGACATAGTGGTAGAATATCACCGACGACGGTGACTTGAAGCGTCGAATGCGAACAACCCGCCAAGCTCGGAAGAACTTCGACAGTTGCTCAAGTACCTACGCATCGAAGGTTGAGTGCAGGGAGCAGACCACCTACCAACGACAGATGTCAAACAACAATGAACTACAGACTTCCGGAAGTCACAAAATCAGCCAATGACATCAGCAGCAGTCGTCAAGAGTACCGTTACACTGGAAGCGTGCTTTGTTTTTGCCAGAAATCACACCGAACGTTCGAGTGCGACGCATCGCTTCCTGAATCATAGAAAAAATGGCACATCCCACGTACAATGGGAATCGATATACGAAGCACGAATGAGGAAGGTTATGTCAATTTAAACTCAGCACAATGTTACGAGGGTGATGTAAATGGTGCCATACATGACTTACGTGTCATGATTGTCATGTTTGGATATGTCGTTTACATTTCTAATCTATTCACGTCACGTGATACCAAATTTAGTATATGTGGAGCTAGCGAAACGGCCGCGAGCACACTATGAGCGTGGTATGTTGTAATTTTTTTAAATGACACGCTCGTGAGCATTATCATGTTTGCGCCAGCCACATACTTTCGTCATCCATTGATGTCACGCGAAACCTAATTTGGTATATGTGGAGCCACCAAAACAACCGCGAGCGCGTCATGAAGGGCTCAATACACTCTAATGTAGCGTTGACGAGCGCACACGCTGGGCACAGCGACGCTACGTTAGCAAAACACAAGCACTCTATAGTCCGACACCAGGTGCGACTGGCGCGACCAGCATCTGTCAGCACGGCGTGACGGCAACCGGCGCGAAATGCGAAATTCTGCATTTCGCGCCGATGCGTTAGCCAAACAACATACGTCTCCATTCTTTTTGTTTCGAAGAGACGCCGGACGCGCTGAAACGCGCATGCGTCAAAGCAATGCAGCGTGGTGCGCGCATGCGAGTATATCGCAAGACCGGCGCCTGGCGTGGCAACGCCGGCTGGACGCGACGAAATGAACTCTGGCTGAGCACGCTCACCACGTCACTTCAATATGTATCGGCACCTTGACTGTGGCATGTAGTCATGCTCTCACATGACACACATCTCATGATTAGCATGTTGGGATTTCATGATCAGCATGTTCATGATTAGCATGTCTGGCGCTCAACGTCCATTTACATCAAAATAATGTCAGCGAGAGTTCTGTTGAGTCTTTCGGTTATTCCGTTTGTTTGCGGATGGTATGCTATAGTCCGTTTATGGTCGGCGTCCGTGAGCTTCATAACAGACTGCATCAAACGGGCAGCAGTAAATGCGGTTCCTTTGTCTGTAATGACAAACTAATATATATATATATATATATATATATATATATATATATATATATATATATATATATATATATATATATATATATATATATATATATATATATATATATATATATATTTGCTAATGCGTCTAGAATATGAAAGAAGAGATATCAGGATGTGTTTTTTGCTGTTAGAACACACAAGCAGGACGTGCCATTCAGATGTATTGTTAGTGAACAGGGTGATTCAATACTGTAGGTTAACTAATTTTGCTCAACCTTTTGAAGAACCCTGACTTCTGTGATGCATCCCTAACAAGGAATTTGACAGACGCCATCGCTTTCGGGAAAGCTGCACACAGAGTTCGAAATTTTTATTTTCTGTTGATGTCGAAAATTTATGTATGTCGTGCCACTTGTAGAGCACTTTTTGTCTGCCGGATATTGCGTTTAGTTCAATGGTACTGTCGCCTGGCAAAATTGAGAGAGGTTGGTGCAAAAAGGTTCATGTTCGTCCTCGAGCCTTACTTTCGGTGAATTGTTGTGCATTTTGAGGCGTGTTTGTATGACCCCCTCCCACGAAAAAAAAAAGAGGGATACGTACTGAATCTTACGTTGCCCAAGTGTTGCATAGTTTTTTTTGTCCATCGTGACAGGAAATGACTTTGTGATGACTTCGTTGACTGTCCCACATTCACAGTGAACAGAGTGAGCAAAAAAAAAAAAAACGTTGTATGCGTATAAGGTCCGAACGGTGGCACTGAACTAATTGCACAGATATGTGGGCTTTGTACGATCATTCTTTTTCTCTCTTTTGTAGTATGCAGATTATAAAGATGCAAATAAGTAGGTCAGTCACACTACAGCAGTGTGTAGCAGGCGGAACACCAGTTAACCACGTACTACAAACAACGCAGTAATGGCGGGATTTAGTGCGAAAGCGTGAAGAGAGTCACCAAGGCCGAGCAGGCCTATGAAAGAGAGAATGCGTTTTACTCGCGGGTAATGTTAATGTTGCTTAAGCGTCATGCAGCGATTCAGTGGATAAGAGCGTGAATATGAGCAGTAAACCGTAGTCAACAGACTTTATCCACTGACAATCGGCTCAGACCACGCGCAACGAAGTGCCGCTGCGTGTATTTGTACGCGTGCGGCCGATCGCCTATCCACACCTGCGCGGGGACAATGCTGTCACCTACAGCCAGATCTCTCCGCGAATATGAGTGCTCGCGTTTTGCTAGTGTGGCGTCACTGCGCCCAGCGTGCGCTCGCGCCAGCGTTGCGTCGGAGTATGTCAATCGGGCCCTTTAATCTGTTACCAACCAGCCGCTCACCACACGCTTCATAAGTTCGTCTATGTATTGCAGGTGAACCGCTGCTTCGCACTTCATGCAACTTATGTGATTATCGAAAAGGAAAGAAGAGAAAAGTGAGCCCCGTAACTGTCTGCATCACAGTGCGACACCTCAACAGTAGCTTAAGAAGGATGGGCTATCATGTCGAGTGAAACTGCATAGTGTCTTTGCGTGTCATAATTGTAGTAATTCGAAAGGCACTGCGAGCATTTCGATACCCGAACTATACATTTTGTTTTCGGCTGATTCTGCCTCTTCTTGGGCACATATTCTTAGGACATTGACCAGGCCCAACCGGCATTCGTGAAGCTAAGTCTGCCTTTCCGGAAGCGAAATAATGCCCGTTACCTAAAATTGTTGAGGGAGAGACATAATGATTCAATAATAGCTGTTTAATGTTCTTAATATTACTACACTCGGGGACAACTTTCTGTGGCAGCACAGCCAAAGCTACGTGGGTGCAGCTTTTGCACAGGTGGTACTATATTATACGCCAAGTAGTCTGTTTTCGTGCGATTTTGGTTTCGATTTGTCAAGTGCATGCGCATGTACCTTTTTGCATGACCACCATGCAATAAATATTACACATATGGGAGGAAATAAATATAATGTTCATTTTGAAGGGAAAGAACATGAGTTTCTTTGTGTTTTTGAACAGTAATCTTGCTGCTTCTTTGAAGCGTTGAGATTTGTTTAAGGAAAAAAAAAAGGTTTGGGCGAGCACGCACTGGGTGATTGGTACAACGCAAAGCAAAAAAAAAAAAAAAAACCATTTCCTCACTTTCAGTGCATACTTGGTGGGTATCATTGTTTTCCTTTTTTTTGAGATGCAAGAACTTCCAGGAGACGCTCACGTTATATTTTTTAGTTGACGCGAAGGCAACGATGTAGTAGTAGTAGTAGTAGTAGTAGTAGTAGTAGTAGTAGTAGTAGTAGTAGAAAACTTTATTACGTACATAATCCAGACAGCCTTGAACTCCAGTACCCCGAGGAATTCACAGGGTGAAGAGTGAAGTCTGTCCTGCAGGGTGGTGCCCCTATTCCAGGGCCCTGCTGGCGCAAGCCGTGCGTTCAGCTCTGTGGATAAGTCGCAGCTGTTCCACTAGGGCTGGGCTGGACAGCAGCGCCTCCCTTTCCTCCCACGTGCCATTGTAGTCATGTTCTTCGTCATGCTCTGCACACTCCCACGTGATGTGAAAGAGTGTTGGGGTGGCTCCACACCACGGGCATATATCTCCGTACGCTGCGGGGTAGATCAGGTAAAGAGTGTGCAGGTTTATGTAAGTGTTAGTTTGTATTCTTCTTAGCGCTGTTGCCTCCGCAGTGCTGAGCTTGCTATGACGACGTGGATACAGCTGCCCATTTTCCCTGCAGTACTTCAAAATCGTTGCGAAACAAGGGTCTAGGGGTGTAGGGTCATCACTTGCATTGTCTTGAGTGGCTCGGTGATTTGTGAAGCCTCGAGCCGCGTCGTCCGCGCGCAGGTTGCCTGTCGCGCCCTCGTGCCCCGGTGCCCAAGTCACAGGCTGTACGTATTTTACAGTGGGGTCCCACGCTGTCGCGACCAATATACGGAGCGCCTGTGCTCCAAGTTTGCCCTTGAGGTAGTTTCTGCAAGCTTTTTGCGAATCTGTAATGATTGTTAATAGAGGGTTTCACGTCAATCCCTCTTTTATTGCGAGTGCTATGGCAACCTCTTCTGCTTGTGTTGTCGACGCCTGATCTATTGAAGCGCAGGCTGTAATTTTTCCTCTAAGGTAGGTGACTACACACGCATATCTCTTTTCATTGGTCTGATAAGTTTCGCCGTCAGTGAATCTGGCCGTGAATCTGGCCGTGAATCAAAAATCTTGTAATTTTGTCAATGCAGTCAACCCTTGCCTTTCTTCTTCCAGCATGCAGAGTAGGATCCATGTTGCTTGGTATTGGCAATACGGTGTACCATTCTCTAAGTTCGCTTAGTACTTCTTTAGTTTCTTGGTGTGTTTGTAATAATATATTACACCCTAGTTTTGTTAGGACGGATCTGCCAGTTGGGGTCTGGAGAAGGCGATTTTCTTGCGCTAGTAACTGGGCCTCGGATAATTCTTCAATTGTGTTATGAAGACCAAGCGCCAGTAGCTTGTCGTTTGAAGTATTCCGTGGTAATCTCAGGGCTGTCTTGTAGGCCATTCTAATTATTTGGTTTGCTTTTTCCTTCTCTTTCCTCTTCATAATTTGATACGGAAGTATGCGACTGATGACGAGGCTTTTGACCAATTTTATGGGGAACATAAATTTTGGCACCGATCGGTCATGAGCGGGCGTCTGAGGTTCGTTAAACCAAGTGAGTAAAACGCAATATTTACTCGTCCAAGAACCCTGTTTTTGCACAGTAAACAGGGTAATATACATGAACGCGTCTGTTACCCAGGCAAATAGCAAGGAACGACTCCCTCCGTAGACACCAACGGGAGCGATGTTATGGTACGCAATCTTCAGCGTTATCGTATCAACAATATTAGGCAGACAAAACACCGACCACGTATGTGACGCCACTTAGAAAAAGGGTAATTCATTTTACGGACAGCTTCCTATCGCACATTTTTTTCCAAACAGCGCTGGTGTTGCTGAAGACTGGCAGTTCGCCGGTGTCACTTTTGAGGTGGCTGTTGCGATTAGAGTCCCACGTTTGCTGATGACATCACTCGCACACAAATTCTCGGCGATTGCATATGCGGACAACCGAATATTTCACGATGCACCACTGTTTTTGTTTCTCCCTGCTCGACGAATACAGATCACCGAATGAACACGCACTCATGCTCGCTCACAAGCGTCAATGTGAACTTGCTGCAACCGAGTGACGCCATAGCTGTTTACCGGGGCAAGGAAAAGGTGTAATGGCACAAGAAAACCAGGAAACTATAAACAGCAAAAAACGAAAAACCCACACGGGAGACCCTTTCTAATAATATTGCGACCAATCTTGAGCATATTATTTACTTATTTTCTGTTTATATTTCCCATTATGGTACGCAGTCTACAAAAGTTAGCGTTCGTGGACTACATGCAGAAGCGCCGCAAAAAGTTGTACTAGGGCTTTGTAGCCTTGAATTTGCTGCCACAAAAAGCTGTCGCCGAGTATAGCACATCTAAAGACGTCACAATGGATCAATAAACAGGGAGGCTTTGAGTATCTAGACGCCTTAATTCGCCGATGGCACGCGAGAACGCTGCAGGCTTAAAAGAGTTATTCCATTGCCTTACCGTCTTTTTACGACTGATATATAAGGCAGAAATGTTCACGGAGCTAGACAAGTAACGACAAGTACACGACATTGTCACGTTTTAAGAACAGGCGACGTTGTAAAGTGGTTTTACAGGGTCCAAGGTTTTAGAGGAGAGTTGCGACCGGGGTTTGCAGGCACCGGAGGTCCGGGATGAAGTTGTCGAGGCAGGAGGAAGAGAGACTTGAAGAGGGTTTATTTACAATATTTATAAGGTGAACTCTCGTACATGGCGAGCTCGCAGCGCCATGTAGAGGAACGCTAGATTTGAGAGCTCGCCATGTAAAAAAGAGCTCGTCATGTACGAGAGATCACCATGTATTTCATGTAAATAAACCGTCTTCAAGTCTCTCTTCCTCCTGCCTCGACAACTTCATCCCGGACCCCCAGTGCCTGCAAACCCCGGTCGGAACAGAAGTCGGAGCAGCACAGCCAAAACAAAGGCACTGGCGCGAGCACTAATGCGTCTTCGTCATCCTTTCTCGCTGGTAGATTAAGCACGTGGCCATATTGTAGCAGGCATGGGGCTGTTATAACTCATGAATAATATTTTACGAGTAAACGGCACCCAATGTTGTTCGTCTTGCATTCATTGAGCTTTTCAAAAGCAAGTAATCAAGTGTGGGGAGAACCAGAATGAAGGGAACGTTTACTGCGAGCGTTCGTAATATGAATGATGGCTTATCGCTGCACCTCAAGTTTTCGTTCGTCCAAGCTACAACCAGGAGCTGTTTGGGTGGGCAGAAACATGGTCTAAGCGTGACCCGAGCAATCCGATCCCGGTGTGATACCTGACTGATGGGAATGAACTTGCGATATAATGGTTATCTGCCATTTAACAAGAACTTCTTCTCTTCACGATACATAGTCATTGTTTCATTCCCATCTTGAAAATCTGCCACATTACTAATAAATATTGTATTCAATGAGGTCTGTCTTCGTAAGATCACTTGGAACTAACGTGCAACCGTGCGCTCAGAGGTTAGGCTACTTGCAACGTATGCTGGATTCGGCTTCATTTAGCTCAAGTGTTATCAATTATAAAAGCCCAGTTCTCCCAATACTCAAATATAATCGTGTCGCATAGAACCAACGCAAAATACTTGAAGTCACAAAACTGACTCTTTCCATAATAATGCTATACGCTTCACTTATTGCCACTATCATACGTATTTTGAAGCTAGTTTCCATCCTCATTGTTCACAACTTGTCTACAGCTCTTCTTGGCGTCATGGTAAAGTTTCGAAGCCCGATTTACTCCTCACAACTTCTTCGACTTAGACACTAAATCGCACCCACTAGATCTTTCTGTATCATACAAGCTAGTCAGCTAAGTTTTGTTTCGATCACTGCATCAATGCGTCTAAAAAGATATTTTGTCCACTGTTTTGCATGACAGAAGGCCTGATCATGTCACGTGAATATTTCGTCACTCCTGAATCTTTTTTGCAAATGGCTGACCCACCACAATCATGGTCAGTATGAAAATAATTTATGTTTATATAGCCCATGTGTGACAGTTGGTTAACCCACGCCGTTCATTGTATAATTCTTCTGAGAAGCTGTCGGCTGCTCGCCCGCTTTCCATGCCGATTTGCTTTATTCTATTCTTTCGTTTCCAGATGGCGTACCGCTACCCAGGAAGCTGTCTCGACCAATGAGCTCCCAGCCTCGCCAGATTGAAACTCTGCACGAGCTTTTCTTGACGGCACTGCGAAAGCAGCCAGATTTTTAGCTGCTTACAAATAGCCTGCATCTACACTGTAAATAGTGCATTGTCACTGGATACGACAAGGAATTTTTCATAAAAACCGGATGTTCTCATTTATTTCTTGCTACAATAATATGAACATGTTCGTTCGTTTCGACTAGATTTAGAAAATGCTTCTGCAATATGAGATGTCATGCACTGGTGTGGGCTTATGTCAAGGACCTGAACTGTAGATCAGATGTGTCCACGACATGCCGCAGCTGTCTGCTCTTTTTCAAGCCTCAGTTTTAGTCAATGTTTCATGACGTGGAGTATTCACTACTGTATGAAGTTGTCCTTCAACAAGCGTACAATGTCCTATCGAGAGATACAGTGCCGCATTTTATTTCAAATTTATTCTTAAGGTGTCGTGCTTTTGTAAAGTAAAAAATGAAGATTGTCTTGATGATTTTACTAGGCCGAGTAACTTATTTTAATTATTAACATGAAAAGTAATTCTCATTGTAATAGAAAGCTTGCCCCGAAGATGTGCTCAGAGCACTGTATTAAACGTGAATGCGAAAGCTGTACGTTCCGTCATCACTGGGGGCAGGTTTTTGTGTCGACCACCTTCGCTTCCTTTTATTCACAATTACTTTCGCTTATTGAAAATTACAGATAGCCGGCCCTACCACCGCTATTGTTCAGTTTGTACATTTGTGCACAGGAAAAACGAATTCTTCAGTGTAGTTTTCTGCCAAAATTTTTTGAAGCTCCTAATAGTCGCAAAATTGCCACCTTCATTTCATACGAAACCAGTGGCCACGACCGGAACTTCAGCTGTGTAGAGAGGGCATGCGAACGCAGCTATTGGCGGGAATGTGTCAGAGACAGCCTCAGTGTTCTAGCTTTTTAAACTTCCGAGTTGGTGGTTTTGCTTTCACGTAGCTAATTTCTACATTCAACATGTGGTTTCAGCTTAAAACACAAGTTATTGATTTCAAGCAAAATAATCACCGTATAATTGAGGCAAGGGAAGGTGAGGGACTGAGGATCCGTTCTTGACCGTCTAAGCCCTTTCACTCAGTGGAAGTACATGGTAACTTTACTCTTTCATTTTTGTCACCCCGAGCTAATTGCAGCAGCCCTGGCCTGCAGGCCGATAATCGTGATGTTTTAAGACAGCACTTTCTATTATTTACACAAAGTGAAATGCTACGCGTAGAAAAAATGGCCAGTGGTGCCACTTCCAAAAAGTTGCAAGCATCTCGGCTATTGCACCTACATTCCCCCGCAGGAATCACGGTGTATTGATTGCACATAGAGGCGAGGGTTCGCATAACAGGGCTTTTCAATTTTTTGTTAAGTTTTGCGATGTATTTTCATGGGAGAACAATGCTGCCAAGACTGATTATGTAGCATGAAGGTAAATCACTGCAATGCAAGCACAGTATATTGTAGCAATGTTTAGTACATTAGAGCAATGGCTTAAAAAGGGAAGTTAGGGGACGGAAGAGGGAAACCACGAGGAGCAGCATAGGACATAGCATAGCCATGCAGAGTATAAATAAAGCGATTGGTTGGTTGATGAAAGCAGGTATATATGGGACGGAGGAGGGAAAGAAGGAAGTGCTAAAGCATTGTGCAGCTGTATGTATTACAGTAAAGCAAGTGGCGGTAAACGAAAATGAGGATAAGAAAGGATGCGACGTTGAGAACCAGGGAAGTCGGAACAGGTAGAACATAGCAAAATCGTGTGTAGGCTGTATACAACATATGAAGGTAGTAGTAAAGGTAAGTGAGTGCTAAGAGGAGTCATGTGATAGTGTCTCTTAGCAAGAGTTATGCACTACAAATATTTTGGTGTCACATTCACTCATGATCTTTCATGATCTACTCATATTGCCTTAACATGTTCCAAGGCCTGAAAGCAACTAGAATATATTCGTCGAGCAGTGCGGAAAGCCCTAAAAGATATTGAAATTTTATTTATAAATCTCTTATTCGCCCTCTCCTTAAATATTTCACCACGGTGTGGTCACCTTACAGACAATGCGACTTAATCAAACTAGAAGCAGTTCAAAAGAAAGCTGCTCGTTTCATTTTTGGCAGGTACTACCGTTACTTCTCACCGTCATTAGCATCAGAGGAGCTAAAGCTGGAACCTCTTTTGGTAGGTCGTGACGTAGAATCAATAACATTTTTGCGTACCATAATCAACCATATATATCACATTTCAAACACAGCCTTTTGTCCTTTGCTTAACCCGCCTTCTTTTACCCGTAACTTCCACGAGCTGAATCTTGCGACCTTTTTTGCACGGACAGATACATTCAAGTATAGTTTCTTTCCCCGAAAAATAGAATTATAAAGTTTCTTACTGGGTGACATTCGATCACTCCCCCTGAATGTTTATGTCATAATTCTTTATAGATATGATTGGGTGAGAAAACCGTATTTTCCTTGTTTGAAATGTGTTTCATTGTTATTTTGTTGCTACTTCTTATGTATATTTTCTCTTGCGATTTTTTTTCGCACTGTATAAACCCACTCCTTTTACATAATGCCGCCCTTTTACAGGGCGACAGTATGTAAAATAAATAAATAAAGAGGAGAGGAAGGAGACGAGAAGAATAAAGCGTAGCGCAATTTTGTATAGTACGTTATAACAAGAGAGAAGAATTAGGAAGCGATGGCTGGGAGGTGGTGTGAAATTGAGGATAAATAAAAAGTTGGAGTGGAAGGATGACCATAGAATAGTCGTGCTTATTGCAGTACAGCAAGGCGCAAGATTAAGAAGTAAGAGTGAGGAGAAACGAAAGGAGCGTTAGGAGGTATAGCATAGCACGCCATTTAATAGTACATCTGGCTAGTGGTGGGAAGAATGGGGAAGTGCGACGTGAGAGTGAGGATGAGAAAAAGTACGAGAGAGTGAAACACACCGTAGGTGCATATACTACCGCTGAGCAAGGTGTTGGCATAAGGAGATGCGGAGGAGTGGTTCCAAAGAGCATGGAGGGTAGTGTAAAACATAGCATTGCTGAATGTATAGTACAGTAAAGTGACAGCATACGAAAGAAAATTGACTGTGCACTCTTGGGAGAGTGATAAGGAGCGAAAGCTGAAGGGGTAAACTATGTCTAGCAGTGTAAAAGTATGGTTGGCAAGCGAGATAAAAATAAGTGTGTGCGAGGAGTTAGGAAAAGCAAAAGGGAAAAAAAGTGGCTTGGCATAGCCATGCAAAGTACAGTATAGCAAGTGGCATGAATGGTAAGTATGGGTGTGGAGGAGTGATGTGCGAATGAACAGGAAGGAAATAACGAGGGGTTGGGTAAGAGCTGCATCACAGATGAAGGCTTCTTTTTTCCAGTTTTTCAGTTTATTAGTGGAATACCAACTAGCCGAATCCCACACTTCATTTTTTTCCCGCCGTGAGCGCCCAGCATAGTAGGTTTAAAACTCTACAGTGCTCGTGCCTGCGAACGTCACCGTCACTGAAGATAAGGTAAATAAATCACTGCTGGCGGCGCTTCCTGACTATTATTATATGATCACTCTGTGTGCATTCTATTACCCGTTATTTACGTACCTACGAGAGAAATACCCACCAGAGTTCTAATTCAAAAATATTTTATACGCTCATGAGCCGTGAATGCAGTCAACTAACGTATTGCAGCATTCATATGACCCGTATGCTGAATCTCTCTTGATGGTGCTCTGTCTTTTGATAATCTCAGCTATTCGAGAACTTTTTCGGCGCTTAATGACTGCAAGAAACAGTGAAATCAATGTTTTTGTTGGCAAGCGCTACCAACCCTTAATGATTCGAGTGACGTCGGTCATATATATTGGTTTGGAGGATCAGACCGTAACTTAAGGGGTTATGTGTAGCGCAAAGCTATTTTTGGGACAATGTGCACAGAGTTCCACTCTTATTTGTCTTGCAAGCATTTCCGAATGATTCTTATTTTCGAATTGCCCAGTATAGATATTCAGAAAATACAAATTATTGAGTCCTCTAAGTGAAAAACTGTGCGAGAGTCACATAGCGCCGGCACATAACATATAGGGAGTGTGAAATTACTATAAAATTGGGACAGGTACTCGCGAAGACTAAAAAACGATGGAGCTGGTGGCTTTTTTTTATTATATAAATCTGTGACACCTCTACATCACTTCTCTTGCCCGCCGCGGTGGTCTAGTGGCTAAGGTACTCGGCTGCTGACCCGCAGGTCGCGGGTTCAAATCTCAGCTGCGGCGGCTGCATTTCCGATGGAGGCGGAAATGTCGTAGGGCCGTGTGCTCAGATTTGGGTGCACGGTAAAGAACCCCAGGTGGTCAAAATTTCCGGAGTCCTCCGCTACGGCGTCTCTCATATTCATATGGTGGTTTTGGGACGTTAAACCCCACAAATAAATCAATCAATCTACATCACTTCTCCTCTTTATCCCTCCATTTAGCTTTATAACTCATTGTAGATCCTTACTACACATGGCTGTGCTATGCCTTGCCCTCTTTCTTTTCTTTCCATCATCCTTACCGTCACTTCCCTATCCAGATACCTTGGAATAATACACATTGAGTGACTCTGTAATGCTTGGGGTTGCTAATCACGTGCTTCTCTCTCTTCTCGTTCATTTGCTTTTTGAGGGTTATGCTATGGGTTTTACTCTCACCTGCTCAGTGACCATCAGTCTTCTTCATCCTCACGTCCTATTTTCATCCCCTTGCTATACTATTTCATAATCTGGAAAGTTCTAGCCTTTTTTGTGTATCGACTGACCCAGGCTTCAAGCTTATAACAGAATCCATTCGTTTATGTGTAGATGCATGACATTCTCCTCATAACACAGCCAAGTCTGTAAGATGTATTGATTAGGCCAGAGAGTAGAAACCTAATATCATGAAGTAACGTTTTTTCGTGGGGTACAGCAAAATATTAAACGGATTCTCAAAAAATATTTAGGTAAGTTCTCATTCTAGTATTTCATATTATTTTTTACTTGTTCGTTGTGTAGACAGAAGGATGGAAATATTACTGAATGATGACGTAGTACTCTTTATACGTTACTTCTCGCTAACGTAATGCCATAATTAGGCATGCAAATAAGTTGCAGCCTCCTTATTTTTCTAGTGGCCCTTATTTGTTTGTAGTTGTGTCATGCACGAACATTCGCGCTCAGTATGAGTTTAATCAATACCG